AGCTCGCAAATAACAGTACAGAGAATGCATTGACTACCAGCCAAAATACTACCATTCCAATACACGCATTCTACATTGCGCCCTTGAAGAAACTAGCATCGCTTGCACTGGGAAACTATGTTTTCTTCTTCTAGAACCCAAACAATTTACTGATAATAACAACAGCAACACCACAGCAGCAACAACAACAACAAAACCCAAAAACAACATTAATAAATTAAAAAATAAATATATTGATTAAATTGATAAAATTGAATAAGAAAGAGTAAATGCGTGAGCAGCCAGTGTATTAAGTAGTAGGAACGTAAAAACGTTCAACGTTTTGACAAGCAGCAATTGCCACAGAGATAGAGTTATACGGGATGTAATGATTTGGTAACCATGGAAACTTTGAGGACGACTGATAAATGCTTTGCTGAAAAAAATGGGACATAAGGGTTAAAACGTTTTAAACGTGTTGTCGCAAATAATCTATAGTAGAATGAATGTGGAAACTATCCCTTCACCACTTCTTTCCATCCCAGCGTCACGAAACTAAGGGTCCGTGTAACAGAAAGCCGGCCCTCCATATAGTTATAATGGTTAGGGTCAGTCTGACCTAAGTGGGTCAAAATCTAGGGCGAGGCTGACCTGTACAGATGAATGGGAAGAGGACTCTCTGTTATGGGGGACTCTCTGTCACGTTACACCGGTCTCCAAACACTCATTTTGCTTACAATTTTTTAATCAAAAATTACCAGCCTTAATATAAACACGCTGTCTATCAATTCAATGGCACTTTATAAAAATATCATAGTGTAGCACATATATAAATCATCCTTTTGTATCCCGCCCCTATGCTGTAGCAATAACACGTAGCACGGCTTGTCATTCCTATTAGTCTTATTTTCATATATATACATTATGTACGTGAGTGCAGATATCTCCTCTTCAGCTCTCATAAACGCTCTCATAATCATAAACGAACGTGCGGTTCCCGATGAAACCGACTTTAATTAATTGGCATTACGAGTGAATTGACGCAATATTTTGACAAAGTGGCCCAAGCTGGGAATTTATACAAAACACACGTGCTGTCATTCTACTGAGTGATATATGACTGAACGCGTACAGTGTACATCCCTTTCAAAATGCAATATTATCTGTTTTCTACACAACAAAGCAGATTATTTTCCAATTAGATCACAATTCGTGAGAGATAGGTTTGAGTATAAGCCTACTTAAGTTTTCTGGGATAGTCTGTATCAAGGAAAGAATACCTACAAAACATTTCAATTATAAAACAAAAGTTAAATATAAGAAAACTTTCAATTGGGGGTTAAAAAAAAAGAAAAAGAAAAAAAACTCACCTGTGATGATCGGAGTGATATTTCTTGTATGTCACAGAAAAAGGGACCGCTAGCGGTAGATTGGCAAACATCCCCAGTAGTCTATTCAGAATAGGCCTTGAATGTCCAAAGGCCAAATTATGGCCAATTTCATGGATAGCTGTCCCACACGAATGGTTCACAAACGCCCCAACACAGTAGGCCAGGAGAACCACCAACCACCACGGGGAATCCCGCACGCACCATGCCATAAACAATTGCAGGGAAACCTCGAAGGCTAGAACGTACGCAATGAAGGGATCGTACCCCATCAGGCGTTTGATTTCCGGGTGTTTGCGGAGAATTTCTGAGCGTCTGGAGGTGTGGGGTTCCTCGCTGTAATCCCAGTCATCGTCTCCGGACAGGGCAGCGCTGACCAGTTCGTCCAAGCGCAGGAATGACCAGAAGCGTTTGAATGTGTATACCAACGACATTTGTTGAAGTGAATTTTAATTCAGTGATAATGATTTCCAGATCCACGTGAAATCGCTGGCAATATACCTCTTAATTATGACGTTAATCCAATATTTATTATTCCCCGTATATTTATGAGGGTCCTTGGAATTTACACAGAAACAGACTTATCATCGATTGTTTATTTTTTCTCCTTAGTTTCTCAGAACTTCAGGGTGTACATTACGTGCACTGTGACTACAAATCTATCCGTGTCTCTGCCTTTCGATCTGTTCGGGTGGAAAATGCGCAATATAACGCTATCCGTTCGAATTTGTCGTTGTCTTGTCTTTAACTCTGGGCCTACGAGCCACTATGCAGGTACGCGGTTGTTTGCTTATATAACTGTCAACGCGTATTAACAGGTATTTCATAACTGCATTTTAATTTTACAGTTAAACGAGACTTACCTGTGCACGCACAACTCCTTGTGCTCAGAAGTAGCGTCCGGCCTTTCACGTTCCCAAGGGTTTCAAACCGGCTTAGCGCGCGCGCGTTGGCGTTTCTGTTTACTTTTTCTTATCTCCAAGCCTTGAACTGCTTAAACACATAGTACGCGAGGCATACTGTGCTTAATAATTTGGAAGTTCATTAAAAAACCCCTGTTGTTTACATTAAGGGTTGCACGTAATGGTTGAAAGGACACAAGGTTACATGGCATTCCAAATGTATGGGAGAAGACATAGAGATGGTACAACGATGTTTGCTGAAATTGTTGGAGTCCCAGTCATTTAAAATGAAGACAAACACCCGTGACTGTCGCGTGAAATAATTCAGACACTTGTCTCTCAGATGCCAGCGTCCTAGAATTTTCTGCCACTTCGGTACGTGTCTCCCATCAAACTTTTTAGCGTTTTCTTGAAAAGCTAAGGTAAATAGTATTTAGATGATAAAAAAATGCATCTAAATTTACAAATTGAAGTTATTATTTTTGTTTGTTTGTTGGTTTGTTTGTTTCACGTGGAAAGTCACAATCGATCAGATTAAAAGCAGTAAGTACCTCTAATAAGTCCAATTTGCGAAGCAATTCACCGAGTGGATTGAAACCTCAACAATTCACCGCTAAGACAAATAAAATCAAATAATAACAAACGCCAGAGCTTTTTTTTCTAGGAATTTAACTAATATTCAATGTTTTGAACCAGAAATCCGTCGATTTGTTCTAGGAGTAAAAGCATCGATGTGAACCAAACAGAAACTGCACAATTAATTTCACACGCTACATAGAGATACTGAAGAACATCCGACACGCGTTCAATATTAATGATTTATTCAATCACTGAAGTGATTTCATCACATAGGTGATGGCATTGTACAAGTACCTATGAAACCAATTGTACACTGATCAAACATTGAAGCTGTATCTGCCCATCTCTTACAAGTACTCCATATCGTTAAGCGGTTCAATAATTTCGACAAATATGACTCGTTTATCCAGATTTGCAAAGAACAGTTTCTTCCAAGCTTTTCGCTTTTTGAAATCGTAAATATAGTAATCGAGTCTTCTTCTGTATGAATGTTGCACATATTTTCGTTTCGAAATATTACGCCTCAGAACGATGGGAGAGGGTTAATCTTTCAATAGTAGATATAGTTAGTATGATTTATGATCAAGTAAACAGTAAACTGGGACCTAGGTTTGACCAAAGAATTGTGTGAAACTCCTTGGTTTTCACTGTCAGACGAAATGCAAGATGACCCGCTCATGTCAGCATGGGTTCAAAGTATAGCCATGCAATCAACACTGACAAAGTGCAATCAATCATTCAACTAATGCCATCCACACATAATCCATATAATGACACCGTTTGGTCAAAACGGCTTTTTGCGGCCAAGTACCCATAGTATGTACAACGGTCTCAGCAAATAGTAACCAAAATAGCAACCAGAATAGAAACCAAATCTCACAATATTAATACCCATCTGGACCAGCATGACGCTGCAGTTTTCAATGTTTAATGTATTATCTTACACGTAATCGGCAAGAGCTTTGGTCAACTAAGGCTTCGTTCACATGCAATGTCTATTTTCTATTTTCTATTTTCGGTATGTCTTATGATCACGGTCTGTGCACTGAATATCCCGCCGCGTAATTACTGGCAACGCGAGCCAGTTACTTATAGTAACTTATAGTAACTGGCTCGCGCTGCCAGTAATTACGCCGCGGGATATTCAGTGCACAGACCGTGATCATAAGACATACCGAAAATAGAAAATAGACATTGCATGTGAACGAATAATTCTATATTTGGTGTTTCATTGCACAGACCGTGATCATAAGACATACCGAAAATAGAAAATAGACATTGCATGTGAACGAATAATTCTATATTTGGTGAAAATAGAAAATAGACATTGCATGTGAACGAATAATTCTATATTTGGTGTTTCAGTGCACAGACCGTGATCATAAGACATACCGAAAATAGAAAATAGACATTGCATGTGAACGAATAATTCTATATTTGGTGTTTCATTTTTTGCTTCATTTTTGTTCGTTTTCACACCTTGTTTGCAACTGCCACTACTTAAAAATCACTGCAACCACTTAGGCTTCGTTCACATGCAATGTCTATTTTCTATTTTCTATTTTCGGTATGTCTTATGATCACGGTCTGTGCACTGAATATCCCGCCGCGTAATTACTGGCAACG